TATAACACCATATTTTTCGAGATTTTTTAATAAGTTTATTATAGTATTCAGGTGTCTATAACCAGCAGCAGATATTTCGCCACTTTTCATCCCAGCAAAACTCATTCCAATAATCTTTCCGCACTCTTCACTTGAAAATTCCGTCCCATGCGGCATTTTTTATCTAAATTAATTAAAATAATAAATATTTATTAATAAATAATAAGTATTTTACTTACCAATTATTCTTTACTCTTCAATACTTTAAAAAAAAAACTTTATAATACACTTCACAACTTTATTTCCATTTACTGTTGACACTTCGAGAAGCAAAACAATTTTGCACATATAATTATTTTCTATGAAATTTGCTACCTATTGTTATTAATTATGATAACGGTACCACAAATAGTACACAAAAAAAACTCCATATATGGTCAGAGAAGTTAAACTCAACTACAGAATCAACTGTATATAAAAAAAATTAGTACCATTATTCTAAGAAGAGAATAACGATAAACAAATTTTGCACATATAATTATTTTACAGGGGTATTTTATTTTAATTATTTATTTCTTTTATTAATTCTATATCTACTTTAAGATCACTTACTAAATTTGCATTTAAAAATGTCACATCCAAATAAGTTTACATTATAAATACTTAACAAAACTAATTATATTAAATAATATATGTCAATTTATGGAATTTTTAACATACGTATCGATCCCAACGAATGCAAATATCAATCCTTTAAAAAATTGCAGCGAAATAATATTTACTATTTCAAACAAAATTGTGAAATTCAAATTGTTTTTTTGCACCCTTGGGTGCAAGCGCAAAATCGGGAACGCACATTTGTGTGCAATCGTAATATTTTAGAAACACACTGGTGTGCACAGTGTGTACTCGCAGAGTGCGGTGCGAGTATAAAATTTTCTCGCACATCTGATTGTGCACATTTTTATAAGTCAGACGCACAGCACAAATGTGTGTGCACGAAACTGTGTGCACAATCATCGCGTTGTGCGATATGAAAATTAAATCAGCACATAAAATCTGTGTGCGTGCAATATTTTTCTTAACACCACAAATGTGCGTGTGCATATTTTAAAAATAATTTCCACTCGCGCAGTGCAGTGTGCGATTTTGTGCATCACAATCCGAAAGTGCTGAATTAGAAAAGATATTAAAGAAGTTCTCTAAAGTAAAGAATGGGTTAGAAAAACAGTGCGAGCAACTCAAAAACAAAGCTACCGAACTCACAAATTTGTTGGAGGAATTAGAAGAACAAATTATAGAGTTGAAAAAGCAGCAAAGTAAGAGTGCAGACTCACGAAAAGTTAACGAAAGTAGAGAAAAAGATCGCACTATTCAAAAATTAGCGGTTCAAGTTAACAACCTGTGAAAACATATACTCCGTTACAAGTAGATCTTGGCGCAAACCCGATTGAAAAAAGATTTGATTTAGAGAAGAGGAGGAAAGAAATGTCTGTAATAGTAGGTGTTATGGACGTTGTGGCTAAATTGGTGCTATACTTTGCAGGTACAGAAGGCCCTAATCTGAGGGGGAGGTACATAAATTTGTAGCGGGGTGTGATCTAACTCAGCAGGCCAGAGGCTAGTCCGCAATATATAGTGAGTTGCATCAAATAAAGATTAGTGGTAGCGGCATACGAACATATGGCAAATAAACAGTTTGTCATTGCTGGGGACCTATGTGAAGCAAAAAAAAGACGTACATAAAGAAAGGAGCTTGGAACACATCAGAAAAGTCATAACATCATGCAGGCAGAGACAGGGCGAAACAGCTAGATTTTATGGAGGTCGGGTGAAAGCGCTATCGAGCGAAGCAGATAAAACAATTAATCACCAAGGAAAGAAGACTGAAATTGTATCACAGTATTTGTGGACAAAAGGTATAGTGATGCCAAACACGCCTCACTGCGTAGAATGTGGCAATTACGGACACAAACAGGAACCCAAATGTAATTGTAATATCATAGAACAGTGCTATATAAGACTAGAAGGATTGTTTTGTTCTATTTGTAGATTGAAAGGGCATGAACAGAACAGGTTTTGCAGAATGGATGATTAGAAAGTATAACACAAATGTAGAGCCAGTAGTAATAAGAGGTACAGGGCAACAAACGGGGCCAGTATTATAGCAAAAAGGAAAAGATAGAATAGCTGGTGTAAGGAAACGCTGTTTCAGATGCGGACTAGAGGGGCATATTGCAAAAAATTGTCGAGAAGATTTAACTACGGTCCAGGGAAACGTCAACTGGGCCGGTCTAGAACACTAGACTGGAGTGCCCAAACCATAAGTAATAAGCAAATAACAAATACCTTAGTGAAGAGTAAGCAGTACATACAGCAGGAAGAACAAGTAAATCTGTCAACAATAACTAGTAAGCACACAAGCATAGGGAAATACCAGTGATACAGCAAACTAAGGTATGTTACAATGAGTTAACGGAAATGGATAAATCGATTAACGATGCATACATTGTGGTACCTTGTAAGGAGGCTAAAAATAAACATTTAGTGTTTTTAGTAGACTCAGGAGCGGAACCTAGTTTATTAAAGTCGGAGGCTTTAAAGAGCATTAATAAAATAAATATTGAAACGGCAAAGAGACTTATGAAATCCTTCGGAGGAAATGTGACTACCCAGAGGACAATCGAAGTACATCATATGAAAATATCGTCGTTAAAATTTAGCATGCATATAACTCCACCAGAAACTCGATAGCTAGCTGACGGCCTTTTAGAAAGGGACGAGTTGTGGAATCGTTCCACACTAGATGCAGTACGGAAGTAGTTAAAATTTGTGAACGAAGGTAAGATAGTAGCCAGTTTACCATTAATGAATTCCAATGATAGTAAATGGATTTGTATAGCAAATTCGGCAGGAGCAGCAGTGTTTATTTCATTGGAAATTGGAGTGGCAATTGGAAAAGTGGTGGTACATAAGAAGGAAATTCGACGAAATGTGTATGTAGGAAAATCACTAACTAAAGTGCGAAGGGTTGTAAGACATGTACGAGTCCTGAATGAATGCAAATGACTGCCAGATAGGATTGCAGGATCACTAAATTAGAATATAGCAAGTTAGGAGTTTATGACGTTATTAAGGCACCAAATATTAATTTCACAGAGCACGAAGATTTGACAAATCGTTTTCACTTACTAATGAAAACAGTACGTTTACAGGACGACAAGATGTTGTTCACTTACCTGGGATAAGTTTTTACATACTTCGGTACTTAAACATGAAATATCGACAGATTCCGAGCAACCACCAAAAAATATAAGGCAGTACTAATTACCAGAAGCCTATAACTAGGAAATAAATAATCAAGTTAAAGAGATGTTAGACAACGGGATAATAACACCAAGTAAATCACCGTGGAACTCACCGATAATACTAGTACCGAAAAAGCCTGATAAGAAATGCCGGCTCGTGGTAGATTTTTGGAGGCTGAACGAGAGACCAATAAAACAAGTCTTTCCAATACCGAGAATAGACGAAATTTTAGACCAGCTCTGGCGCAGTAGAAATTTTTCAAACTTGGACCTAGCCAGCGGCAGCGCGCCGGCTGGCTCCCAACGAATAATGAATGTCATACTCAAGGGGGTTCAAGGTATCGACTCTTTTGTATACCTGGACGGTATTGTGATCTACGGTAATAATTTAACAAAACATGAACAGGGACTAAGAACGGTATTACAAGCACCATGTGACAATGGGTCTTATGCATAAAAATGAGTTCTTACTCCGAGCAAACCATAGTTAGCTTGATCTTAACTTTCAGAGTTTCACCAAAACCTCGATCTCAAGTTCATTTCGGTATGCATAAAAATGAGATTAAGAAGCTTGAACTCAACTCAATCTATGCGAGCAAATGCTCAAAGTTTTCATATGCATTTGTTATTGTAATTTCATGGTAAAAAGTTTTTTCTTTGTTATTGCAAGTGCTTTCATTAATTTTCAGTTAAAATTCGAATTTGAATTCAAGTGTTTTACTTTATGCAGAGGAATTAAAAATGTGTGAAATAAAAAGTGACACTTTATCACTTAACAAAATAAATAATTATTCGGTGTTATTTGAAAAATCGCAACTACCAATATTTAAAGCTAAAAAAATTGAAGCTATTAATAATTTAAAAAAACAATATAAAGAATTGAGTGGTATTGAAATTGAAAGCAAACTGCTTAAAAAAACTGCAAACTTCAAAAGTAGGATAAAAGCCAAAGCGGACATTAACAGAACTGGCAATAAAAAAATGCAGATGAAAGAGTGGGAAGAGAAATTTTTAAATATTATAAGTAAAAAAGACAACCCTAGTGTAAATAAAATTTCAGGTAAATTATTTATAGTGAATATGATAAGCAAATAGTTAAAAATATTCTTATTTTTGAAAAAGGCGCAATTTAAGCTGGAACCACAAAAGACGGTGCATCAGCAAGTACCGCAAAATGTGCAGTAAAAAGAAAAATAGAGGAAGAAAACGAGGAAGAAAAAGAGGAAAAAAGTCGGGAAAAAAATGAGAAAAGCGGCATAGCAAAGCGGAAAAAAGTATAGCGATTTGTTAAATTTTAGGGTTTTTTTATTTAAAATGTTAACTTTTTTCGGACGCATGCAACCTGCTCCAGTGAACACAATTGCAAAGATATGTTTTGCTTAAGCAAAGCATAGTACTTTCGCAACAAATGAATAATTCAAATAAATAATTTAAGTCTAAATTCTTATGAATTTTATCTTTATTTATTTTTCCTTATATCTTTATTTCCATTGTTCCTTGTATCTATTCACCAAAATTAAAAAATTAAAAAAAAATGTTCTTTCGCAACAAATTAATAATTCAAATAAAAAATTTGATTTTGAATACTTATGAATTTTATTTATCTTTATTTGTATCTTTATATCTATAATACATCAAAATTAAAAAAAATTGTGACATAAATTCATATTCTAATAAATTTTCAAATAATTAAAAAAAAAATTTATTTACAAACTAATTACTGTTATCTGATAACATGTTGGCAATTGGTAACCATTTTCGTTTGCCGTTTTCTCGAATCTGGTTGCAAGTAACTCCGCTGGTTTCATCTGAAGAAAACACTACATTTTCGATGTTACTATCTAAATCTGTTGAATACTGGTATATATCATTAAGATGTTTTGCTATATTATGCAGAACAAAACCACTTATAATTATTTGTAATACAATTTCTATATCAACACGATATATTGAAATGATGCAAACCTCTGCTTTAATTGACCAAAGCAACGTTCAATGATAGTTCTTTCCTTTGTTATTGCGGAATTATATAAGGCTTCAATGGGATTTGATGGATTTTTAAAGGGTGTCATTAACCATGGCGCAATACCGTATCCTTCATCGCCAAGTAAATATGCTTCTACATCATTGCTTTTAATTACATTGTGCACCGAACTATTTTTTAAAATTCGAGAATCATGCACAGAACCAGGCCAAGAAACATCGACACTTGTAAATAATTCGTTAGCATTGCATGTTGCTTGCACATTTATTGAATAAAACCCTTTTCCACAAATGTATTCATCAGAATTATTCAAAGGTTTTTTTATTTTGAAATGTGTACAATCAATTGCTCCTATTGCAAATGGCATTTTATATTTTGTGTTCCATAACGTTGCACGTTGCGAAATAATTATAGCCATTTCTCTAATTATGCGTGATGCAGTGAACTGATGAATACGAATATCTTCCCCAATTCCACATTGAAAACATGGATCCGCCAAAAATCTAATGTATGTGCACATTTTTGTGAATCCATCCAAGCCTCCACCACGTGTTTGACTAGTTGAAGGCAAAAAATAATCCACTAACCATTGAATGTTTTCCTTTGAAAAGCTATACAACGTTTCATCATTTCCTATATTTATTGTTGTTAAACAATAAATTTTTTTTTAATTTGAACATTTAAAAATTCTGCCATTATTTCTTTTTTTAATAATTGTTTGTATTTTAACTGGAAATTTGCATTTTAACTTAAATTATTTTATAATTCATATAGTTTATAATTTTATTTAAAACTTTAAACAAAAAACTTTAAAAACACCGACTTCCACCGGGTTCTTGTGAAAAATATTTTTAAAGTGACAACGCACCAAATGTGAGCACAAAAAAAGCAGCTTAACTTTTTCGAAGCAATTGCTCACAAAAAATTAAGAAACTTGATTTTTATGCATACGAAACCTACCATTTACTCACAATGAGCTTTTCAACAAAAGTTCAATCAATAAAATTGAGAATTTGCTAAAGCTCTTTCTTGCGAGCACAAGCACAAAATTTTTATGCATGCTACCTTGAGCAAATACTCAGAAAATGTGAAACAAGCAAGAACTCATTTTTATGCATAAAACCCAATAATTTGAAATTACAAACAGAGAAATTCCAATTTATAAGGCGTGAAGTAGTATATTTGGGTCACCAATGCTTAGATAAGGGTGTGATGCTGGATCCTGATAAGGTGAAATGTGTAAAAAATATGCCACCGCCGCAGAATGTAAAGGAATTGCAATCATTTTTGGGATTCATTAACTAATATAGAAAATTTATTCTATAAGCAGCAATGATCGCCTTACCTCTAAATCAGTTGCTTCGAAAAGACTCGAAATTCATACGGACAACAAGTTGTCAGATGACAAAGGATCAATTAAAACAGTTAGTGACTATGCCACCACTTTTACAATACCCAGATTTTAGCACACCTTTCATTCTGACAACAGATGCGAGCAATGAAGCATTAGGAGCTACTCTATCTCAGGGTGAGCCAGGCAAGGATTTGAATTTGTACTTTCCAATTCGTGAACTAAGTAGCACTGAAGAACGATACAAGCCATAAAAAGGAATAGTAAATTTAAAAAATTAACTGGATCGTTTTCGACTTAAGCTTTTGGAATTTGATTTCGATTTGTTACAAGCTAAAAAAAAATAATAAAATGCAGATGCACTGAGTAAGATAATAATATTGCGGTAGTAACTCGGTCCAAAAAAAAGGAAAAAGAGGAAGAGTTGTTAGCAACCGAAGTTGAACAATTATTCAGAAGTGAACATAGCCCACCTTGGAAAGGAAGACTATGCTGTTTTTCTCACGAATAAGAAAGGTATTCAAGGTATATTAAAAACATTTCACTATTCACCATTAGGGGGACATCAAGGTGCTGTAAAAACGTATTTACGTATCAGAAAAAGCAATTTAAGTGGTCAGAAAGGCAACTTCAAATAAAGGACTATGTGAGAGCTTGCCAAAATTGTCAGAAGAATAAAAGTTCTAAAGTAGAGAGGATGCCTATAGTTTTAACGGATAAGCAGCAAAGACCTTTCGACAAAATTTTTATTGATACTGTAGGGCCATTACCTCAGACGGCTAGGGGAAACAAATTATTTCTCACTTTTCAAGATGATTTTTCAAAATACATGGTGTGTGTACCCATTCCAGACGACGAAGCGTCGACTGTGGCCCGAGCATTCTTAAATGAGATCATCTCGAAATTTAATATACCCAGAATATTGGTGACTGATAATGGTACAATTTTTACATCTAGTGAAACATATAAAATCTTAGGTATAAAGAAGATACACACTTCGCCCTACACTTCAAATAAAGCGTTGGAAGAAAGTCGTCGGCCGTTGGCAGAATTTTCAAGAAGTTTCGTAAATGAGGATGAAACTAATTGTCACGCCAATAACACGGCACACAATAACACGGTGCATACCACTACCAAACAAACTCCCACATAGACATTATTCGGGTATGAAGTTCAGATTCTGATCAATCTACGGAGAAGAGGCAATCCGCTCTATACTGATGGTGACTATGCAAAAGTTTTGAAATACCAAATACAGCGAACACACGAACTGGTAAGGAAAAATCAAATAAAGGAAATAGTAAGGAAATAGAGGGAAATAAATTTTGTAACATTTGAAGTTAACCAAGGGCAATAGATTTAGAGCACATGAGCTTGAATGAGACGTAAAAACAGAACCTTCCTTCGTTATAGTTGGTGATGAAGATGATTATGAATTGCATATTTTTCCTGCAATATTCCATTCCGAAATGTTTATTTTTTTAAAGGGAAGGGATGTTGTATATAATTTATTATTGATTTATTTATTTATTATTAATTTATTTACTTATTAATTTATTATAACTAAATTTATAATTACTAAAAACTGAATTTAATTAAATTTTAATTTTATATTAAAATGTTGTACATAATTTATTATGATTTATTTATTTACTAATTTATTAAAAATTTATTTATTTATAAATTTATTATAACTGTATTTACTATTACCAATAACTGAATTTATATAATAACATTAGAGAACTCACGCCACTGTGATGTCAATATTAGACCTTTTCTTTTGTAAGCATATCACAAAAGAACAACTGCTTATTTTAAAAATAACATATGAAACAACAACATTGCTGGCTTATTCAGTCCAACCTTTTTAAAACCGCTTAACTAATAAGCAGCTCAAATCGCATGTGTTATAAGTTTTTATTTAATTGTCCAAATTTTATTTTATTTACGCTATTCATCAATCTAATCTTCAAGTTTTTAATCAATAAATTTCAATTCAATAGAATTTTTATGAATATGAGTTGTAATTTAACATCAATTTTCCAGACGAAAGTGACTATTATATTTTAATAGAAACTTATTATATTTCAAAAAGAGGTTTTTTCGAACAGTAGTGAACTATAACAACAAAAATTTTATTTATTATATTTTAATTAATTGAATTTTTGACTGACCATACAGTTGTTTTAACAATTTCACAGCTGTAAAATTGGTTGTAAAAACTTTCATAGCAAAAGTAACAAAACCCCAGAAAAATATGCGAACATAAAAAGTCAAGTACGGCTTTGGGTCAGTTGGTTAAGGCGCCTTCAATCTGAGCTTCACATTTGGCAGGACCCTAGTTCGATTCCTGGTACATGCAGTCTCAAAAATAATTATTTACGAATAATTAAATAAAAGAATTATTTCCAAGACCACTGATGATGGGTATTTCACAATACTCAGCTGCATGGTCAGCCAAAAATTCAATTAATTAAAATAATATAAAAAATAAAATTTTTGTTGTTATAGTTCACTACTGTTCGAAACAACCTCTTTATAGAATTTTTATATAATATAGATTAGAATTATTATTTATTTATAGTGTATCCTAGTATTAATTCATTTATTTCATTCATTTTTTCATTAATTTCATTTTTCTCATTTACACTATTCAGTCCAATTTCTCAAGTTTTAATCATTAAATTACAATTCAACAGAATATTTATATAATATAGATTAGAATTATTTATTTATAATGTATTCAAGTGTTATTTCATTTACACTATACAATCGATTTTTTCAAATTTGTAATCATTAAATTACAATTCAATAAAACTTTTAGTTAAAAAAAAAATTTTCAAATTTGTAATCATTAAATTACAATTCAATAAAACTTTTAGTTAAAAAAAAAATTCAACTGCACTTAACTTAAGTTCTTTCACCTCTGTCCGACTCAGAAAAAAATCTCTGCCCTACATGGTTGCCAACACTATAAATACATCTATTGTAAACGACTTTTGGAAGTATGTATGATTTCAACTATTTGTATTTCGTGTATTTATTGTTCGTAACAAATACGTTATTTTTTCTATTTATTATATTAATGTTAAAAGGTATAAAAAATTATATGTTATTTCCAATCATGTAAAAAAAAATATTCTTACCAATAATTACAAAAAATTATTATTCAATTTCTAAATTTCAACTTTAAATTTTATTACGTGTTTTGCACATAAAAGCCTAAAAAATTGCCATTTTGCACAGAGTTGCTGTCGAAAATAGTGCTTATTTTATTTGTTTTATTGTAAACTGCAGCTGCAAGTTCAGATTAACTGCGTTATGACATAATCTCGAGTGCCATTGGAATTTTTAGCAGCTTTTTTTTAAAGATTTTGAAGAAAAAGAAAAACAAAAAAGTGAGTTCAGTATGTTCGGCAAAACCCTGTGTATGACGTACGGGCCTCGATATTTTTCAGAAAATTTCTTGCTTTTTCCGGCAGTGGTATCTATATGTCGTATCACAACAAAGTCACCCTCGGAATATTTTATTGGTGGTTGTGAAAACTAAAGCGAAATAAAGGGTTGTATCTTGCCGCTGCTGTCTCTCTCTATCTCTCAAACATTGTACGTATAATTATACACATTCACTGTATTTTTCAGTCGTTAATAAACTGTCAGCAAAAACTGACGCTAAAACCGGTGTTGCGTATTATTTATTATTAGTATTTTTTGCATAGTGCCGAAACCGGGAGTCGGTTGAATTCTAATGGGAATTCTAGCGGGCTGATAGTTTAAAAAGAAAACAAAGTGGTTAAAAAAAAAGAAAGCGTTCGACTCTTAAACAAAAAGAAACACGAGTGTAATTAATTAGAAATTATTTATTTATATAAGAAAAATGGAGGCAGCTAGCAGAGCGTCATGTAGAACGCAGTTAACGAAAATATGCAACACAGTGGATGCATATTTTAAACAGGAAATACTGCAGAAACCAGACGTGACATCAAAGGAGTCAACTCTGAACATTTATTTATCTCGTATAAATAATGCGCATCAGAGATTGTTAAAAGCTGATGAAATCGTCCAAAGCAAAGTGACTCAAGAGGATTGGGCACAGGAATTTGAATCAGCGTTGGAGTATGACGATCGAGCAGTAGGTATAACTGTAAAAGTTCAGTATGAATTGAAAAGGATAAACAGCAATTCTTATGAAGAAGCATTGCGCAACGAAAATCCATCTAGAACAATCGTTAACAGTGAAACTAATATAAAATTAAAACCTCTGGAGCTTAAGAAATTTGATGGAAATTTGGAAAATTGGATTCCAATCTGGGAACAATTTAAACAAGCAATTCATGAGAATTCGAAATTAGATGCAGCTTCAAAATTCAACTATTTAAATGACGCACTGGTAGGCAAAGCAGCGGCAGCGATAACGGGATTTTTGCCGACAGAACGTTGTTATTATGACGCCATAGAATTACTCTTAAAAGAGTACGGTGATAGCGACAAAATTGTAGACAAGTACATATAAAAGTTGCTAAACATAAGAGCCATCAACTCAGCGAGCGAGTTTAAGAAATTTATACAACGAAGTAAGAGCAACGAAATCTGTCAGCATTAAGTATTTCACCAACACAGTATAACATCATGGTGCACTCAATATTGTTAAAGGCATTGCCAGTAAGCATGAGAATAAATTTCTATAAAACGCAAAAGGGATGTTCACATTCAACTAACGCAAGTCGCACCAGATTAAACGAAAGTGAGCGAGCACTAGAGCAAAATTGAAGCATTAGAAACAGCTCAAATAGTTGAGAGAGATAATAAGAAATTAGAAGAGAAAAGAATATCGGAACATAAACCAAGAGGTACAGCTGTTGGTTTGCACTACATGCCACATAGACCAGTATATCGTGAAGATAAAACAACTACAAAGATGTGTATAGTTTTTGATGCGTCATCAAGTGATTCGGAGCATGGATCGTTAAATAAATTTTTAAGCCCAGGTGAAAATTTACTGCCAAACTTAGTGTCAATATTGCTAAGGTTTCGTTCAAAGAGAATTGCTATGACAGCAGATATTGAGAAGGCATTTTTGCAAATTGCTATAGACCAAAGCGATCGCGATACACATAGATTTTTATGGTATGACAAAATGCCAAGTATAAACGAACAACTGCCAAATATTGTAGAAATGCGTATGACGAGAGTAACATTTGGAGTTACTTCTAGCCCTTTTTTGCTATCCGCAGTTATTCGAAAACATTTAACGAGTTGCAAAGAAACATTTCCAGCAACATGTGAGGCACTATTAAAGTCATTTTATGTAGATGATCTTTTAATTAGTTGTCATGAAGTTGAAGAAGCCAAGAAAATTTATTTCGAATCAAAGAAAATTATGAGCGAATTCAAACTGCATAGACATAAGAAAATGTTGTGCAAGCGAAGGTAATCAAAATGCAATTCAAAAAATTTTGGGAATAAATTGGTATATTCTTGAAGATGACATTAGCGTTTCAATGGTAAAAACCATTGAAACCATTGCTATTTTAAAACCAACAAAGCGAAGCGTGATGAAGGCTTTGGCAAGAATATATGATCCGTTAGGAATAATAGCACCCTTTACAGTGCGACTAAAAATTTTACTTCAAAACATTTGGAAAGTGAAATATGAATGGGACGCGCCTTTAAATGACGAAATGTGTTATGAATTTGAAGCATGGGGAAACGAACATAAAATATTAAGACATTTCAAAATTTCTCGTTCTTTGTGTCAAGCAGAGAAAAGCTTTATAGAGATCGATATATTTGCTGATGCAAGCCCAAAGGCATATGGAGTTGTGGCATATTTGAGAACAGTGGCGAATGGGATAGTTTCGAATAAATTTATTTGCTCAATAAACAGAGTAAACCCAATTACAAAAGGCGGTAATGATGAACTCTCGCTTCCAAAGTTGGAACTCACGGCAGCTGTTATCGCAGCACGACTTAAAGCATTTTTATCAGAGTTTCTAGAGTTACAAATTGATAAATACTACTTATGGTCTGATTCAACAATTACACTTAATTGGATTATGGGATGCAGAAATAAAATAAAGCCATACGTTACAACAAGAGTTAAAGAAATTTTAAAACTAACTAACATATTGTAACATAAAATTTTAAGTTCTTAAATTTCACGTCACATCATACAAGTGAACATAAAACAATAATAAAAGCAGTAAGCGAGTATTAAAAACCACCAACAAATTTAATACAAAAAAATAACAACACCAGATCAATAATGAATAAAATTGTAAAACAACACACCATTGATTTTACAATAACAAAACAACTGCATGCTTTGCACTTCGCGTGTATAAAAGGCGAAGCAAAAGCGGAGTGATGGACAGTCAGTATAGCATCGAGCTAGGGAAGACATCCTTCTAAACTTACAAGCTGATACATCGGTGAATAGAAATATACATTTCAGTTCGCATTTTTTTTTTTCTTTAAATATAACGATATCAACATTTCGCTAGAACCCCGTAGTATAGAAATATACATTTCTATCTTATTTTATATCGAAATCCACATTTCGCTAGAACCCCGTAGAATAAAAATATACATTTCTACTATTTATTCATATTTTAATAACGACATCAACAGTGCAGGCAGGGAAGGAATTTCCAATTCTTCAAAGAAGCCAGCGATTTCACAGCAGAGCAACACTACTTGATTGTAGCGAAGCCACCGCCCACCGTGCATCCAAACTTGCCACCGTCCCAACAAATAAATTTTATTGTAAGATAGAACCTGGAATCCGGCGAGCACAACCTCGGACAGAAAGGTTTGTTACAATTGGCGCCCGAGCAGGGACCGTGGGAACAAAACTGACCAACATCTTCAGTTGAGTATGGAAAACAAACCAACGGTGGTACCATCAGGAATCAAGGAAGTGACAGGACAAGCAGGCCGTAAAACAGCAGTCGCTTCAACAAGCACAAAACGATTAACATCAGGAGGTAAATCTTGGATTTACTTCGCTAAAAAGGAGGAACTGGTGAGCTACGCAGACGAGTTCGGATTAGATCCAAGTGGTTCACTGGAGGAACTTCGGAAAAAACTTTCAACGTTCATGAACTCAGAGGCAACTGAGAAAGATACCGCCAGGCTACAGGAACTCGCTAAGCTACATACCAGAAGCTCATCACCGGGAGTCATTGAAAATAGACGTCCTTCGATAACTAAGGAAGGAAGTGTAGCCATGGCAGAATATCCAGTGATAATCGATCAAGTCAGAAAATGGGGATGCCACTACTCAGGGGAACACGAAATACTACCATTTATAAAACGGATCGAGGAACTGGCGGATATGTACGGTATACATTGGGACTTATTACCGAAGCTAATGCCGGAAGTACTAAAAGACAAGGCACTGATCTGGTTCAGGAATAACAACAAGCGATGGACCGAGTGGCCATCATTCAAAGCAGATATATTAGCATTCTTCTTGACACCAAGATACTTCGAACAATTAGAGGACAAAATACGAGCCCGCCTGCAACAACCCAGGGAACTGTTCAGAGATTATGTATTAGCACTGCAGAACATCATGCGGCATTCAAAATACAGCGAAGAAATAAAATTAGAAAGAATCTACTGGAACAGTCGTACCGAGTAGCAATGGTAAATCCGTAGGAAAGACTTCCAGTCATTATCCGAGCGTTGACATTAGCTGGGGACCTGGAGGCACTGACAGCTACAGACCGTCAAGTATGGAATACGTTACCGGCTAAGGAGATCAAAGCAAGAGTAATTGATGCGTCTGAAGACAAGATCAAAGATGTCAGGACAGCTTGTCGTCGTTGCGGGCAACAAGGACACTTGAGGTGGAATTGTCGCTTTACAAGCATCTTATTTTCCTGGGAATGCGGGAAAAGAGGAAAACGTACAATTGATTGATGCAGGAATCAGGGAAACGAAGTCAGGGTCCATCGACAGAACGGGGCGATGAGACCATCAGACAACACCCCGTCCCATCAGTAGGATGCATGAAGCGCAGTGAATCACGTCTGTCGGCCCAAGAAACTATTAATCAACAAGTCATAAAAGCAACGATCGATACAGGATCCTCGCGAAGTTTCATCAATTCGCAAACGGCAGTAAAACTTAAGGGACAAATCATCCTTAACTCTGAACCCACGCAAGTACGTATGGCGGATGACGGACAACACTCCGCCAAGCAACAAATAACAACATCTATCACGCTCGGGACAAGAACCACAAAGTTAAGATTAATTCTACTGTCAAACCTGATCGATGAGGTAATTTTGGGACTGGACTTCTTGGCTGCTATGGGAGCCTCACTAACATGCGGAGGCCAAAATTTACAGTTTAGATATCACAAACACGGGACTAAGGTCGCAAACATCATGCAAGTGTCAACATCAAAACAAATGACAATGGAGGTAAATTTCAAGGAATTTTTGAAACCGGAATTAGATAAGTTCTCACAGATTAAAGGACCCAGTAACATCACGGAACATCGCATTATCATGCGTCACGAGCAACCCATCAAACAACAATATTACCCACGCAACCCGGCGATGCAAGCAATCATCAATGAACATGTTAACGAGCTATTAAAGAACGATTACATCGAACTGTCAAGAAGCGCATACAGTACCCCAGTTTATTTATTTATTTATTTATTTAAATGCATTAAGGGACAACCCTTTTTATTGCAGTATCTTAAAGCTAATTTAAAGAATTAAAATAAAAATAAAAAATACAATAAAATAAAATAAAATAAAATAAAAGAAGTAATTAAAGTTTTCAGAGAATATAGTAATAACATACGTAAAAAGTATTAAAATTATATTTACTGATTAACAGCGAAACAAAAAGAAAACAGCATGAAATATTTAAATAACAGAATTTAAGTTAATAACAAACATATTACAATAAACTTAACTATATAGCAGCAAAAAACAACCAAATCAATGAATAAAGACAGGAAAGAAATTAATAAATACAAAGAAACCAGTTAATTTTTTAACAGTTTCTTAAAAACACTCGGGTTAACTGCATTTCTGGTTGTGCTTGAAAGAGCATTTTATATTCTAACAGACTAAATAAAGAAAAACTTAGTAGTGGAGGCAGAAGTAAATCTGGGAATGATGAAAAGACGAGATCTGTTAGATCTAGTTAGCTGCAAGCAATCAAAAAGGTACTTCGGCGTAGTAGTGGATAAAAGTCTGAACAAAAATAAGCATACTCGAAAATAAGCATATATTGTTCAATATCACACCCTAGAATCACATTTCTATAAATACCTAAGTGATCGAAGCGTCAAAGGCCAAAAGCATATCGCGTGCAGCAGTTTACTAGGCATCGTAACTTATTGAGGGATTCAGAATCAAGTCTTGGGTACACTAAAGAGGAGTACATAACAATAGGAATAATTAGTTGTTTTACCAACAAAACACGCATGTCAACAGGTGTATACTTCACAGAAAGGTTCAGACCTCTTAAACATGCAAAAGATTTTCTAATAACTTGGTAAACATGTTCGCTAGCATGCAGATTAGTGTTCAAATGGAAGCCCAGACATTTTACCGAATTAGTATATTTAATAAATGAGTTGCCAAGTGTTACAGATGGCAAGAAATCAACATTAATATTTAGCCTAGCAATTGGTAGAATTGAAGACTTGTTTGTATTAAGGAACATATTATTTTGCGTAGCCCCTACCTCAACATATGATAAATCTACATTAGTCATTTGAAAGAGGTCATTAATATCAGAAATCCGACAAGATAGATACATTAGAATATCATCTGCATACGCATGCAATTTAGCATACTTACATATTGAAAAAATATCATAAAAATAAATTGAATATAAAAGAGGTCCTAGTACAGAGCCTTGAGGTACCCCAGTAAATAAAGGTTTGAAATTACAAAAAGCATTCTCTATGAGTACAGTCTGTTCCCTTCCAGTTAAGTAGCTATATATAAATTCTGAGGTCGACTTAGAAAAATAAAAGGAATGTAAAAGCTTTTTACATAATAGAGAATGGTCAACACAGTCAAAAGCTTTGGTAAAGTCAAGGAGACATAAAAATGTTACTAAGTTTTGATCATAGCTACATCGAATATCTTCGAGGACCTTAAGCATTGCCGTCGTGCAACTATGACCTTTTTTAAACCCAGACTGGAGAGGAGAGAGAAGTTTAAAGCAGTTAAGATGAGTACGTATTTGATCAGCCATAATGTTCTCACACACTTTAGAGAGTGAAGGGAGAATACTGATTGGACGATAATCGGAACATGAGGAACATGCGTCAAAGGAATAATAATAAACGGCAGTATAAGTTTAATAAATTTATGTGGAATTTCATCTATTCCAATAGCGTTTGACTTAATTTTCATGACATTATTAAAAACAGTTTCTTCACTCACACATACA